GAGCCCGATTTGCAGACAACGGGTGGGGCCCCCCCTAATCGTGCGCGGGTCGAAGCTGATCCATGATTCGGCGAACATCGCGAATGAATGGCGAATATGTTGCGAATAGTCGCCGATACCTTGGCAACAAGTCGGCGCACGTAGCGACATGTCGGCAGTGACTCGGCGAGTGTTTGGCGATCATGTTCGTTTATTATTAGTTCGGCGAACGGCCACGAAATTTTCATTTTTCATGAAATATTCGTGGCGGTCGTGACGAACCGTAAAAGTCGCGCGGTGGGCACCGACTGGTCTGCGAAATGCCAAGACCGTGGAAGAAAGATCCCGAATCGGTCCACGACATAGGATGACTTGCATATTCGTGCACATTCGTGTACCAAAATTCGGCAGTGTAACAAGGGCTTTAGGGGGCCCCCCACCCGTTTTCTGCAAATCGGGCTCTGTCGGCGAACTGTTCGCCTCTGTCTTGTTCGCCGATTTCCTACACGACGTGATTCGGCGACAGGGTCGTGGCCAAAATTCGGCAGTGTAACACGGCCTTTATTATAAGTTCGGCGAACGGCCACGAAATTTTCATTTTTCATGAAATATTCGTGGCGGTCGTGACGAACCGTAAAAGTCGCGCGGTGGGCACCGACTGGTCTGCGAAATGCCAAGACCGTGGAAGAAAGATCCCGAATCGGTTCGCAACATAGGATGATTTGCATATTCGTGCACATTCGTGTACCAAAATTTGGCAGTGTAACAAGGGCTTTAAGCCCTTGTTTACCCTCGATGGTACTGAAAGTTTCGTCGCGATCGGCCGCTTTTTACGCGAGTTATTCGCGAAAAACCGAGGGGGTCCGTTCCACCCCCTCCCTCCCCCCCCCTGTACGGGAGTCATAAGCGTCCTATAGGTATAGGATTAGCGCTATCGAAACTATCGGTGCAGCGAGTTCCGCAGCACACTTAGCACGGAATCTGCTTATCTGTTTACAGCCCTCATTCAAGTTCAATCTCGCTATGAGCGGGCGGGGATAAGCGACGGGCCAGGCAGGCATAAACTTCTTCCTTGCCTACCAGCGGATCCAACCGTGACCAGGTCAAGCTGGTGAATAGAATCGTGCCCAATAGTTGAACGCACCGGTAGCAAATATGTTGCTGGTAGCGGGATCTGGGAAATTCGACATTATATGCAGTTTTAAGGTTGAAAAATTTAGTTCTTAGAGCAAAGGTCAAGTAGACACCTTTTAGCTATTTAGGATCCCAGACGCCCACTAACTCCGCCTGTGGCCATGTCGTAGAGACCGAGACGTGACTCAGCAGATTGTCTCGCCAATGGCACCCCAGGGTCAATGGGCGTTACAGCCCGGCGCGACGGGGATGTCCAAGGTCAGCGCTGACGGAGCTGGGCGGCGGCGGCGGCTGCAGTCGCACCGGGAGAGCGCAGCGGGCGGGACCTCCGCCCGACAGCTGCAGCGAGACACAGATCCAGAGGTGCGGTGGAGCGACACCTCCCCCCACTGAGTGCGCACTGACTCCCCCGAGGACCGCCGGTGACAGTGAAGAGGTCACGGTGTGACAGAGCGCGCCATGTTGGAGGGTCTGCTGACGGCGCCGCTGGCGGCGCTCCGCTGGCTCTGCTCGCCGCTCCCGCTGACGGTAATAGTCCTTATCGTCGCGTTTGTTTACTATATGCTGACCAAGAACTTTGACTATTGGAAGTCGCGCGGTGTGCCTGGACCGCGACCATGTCTGCCCTGGGGAAACGAGTTCGGACCGCCGTTCACGAAGGTGGGTGAATTCGACAGCTGGCTTTATCACAAGCACGGAGGAAAGAAGTATTGTGGCTACTTTGAGCTCAGAAAGCCGGTGCTTTTCGTGGGAGATCTGGAGATGATTAAAGCCATCACTATCAAAGACTTCGACCACTTTACCGATCAGCGCGACCAGCTCGGTAATGATCTTTTCAAAGAGATGCTGATCATTCTTAAGGGCGCCAAGTGGAAGGAAACACGTTCCGTGATGTCTCCAACCTTCTCAGCTAGCAAACTAAAGGCGATGTATCAGCTGACACTGGATAACGCTCAGAATCTGCTGAAGTACATTAACGCTCAGCAAGTAGACAAGGGTGAGGTTGAGATCAAAGAAGCCTTCGGGAAATTCACGATGGACAATATTGCAGCTAGCGCTTTTGGGATCAACTGCAACTCTTTCACCGACCCAAATAGCAAGTTTGCGGCCATGTCGGCAAGTCTGAGTGACTTCGATCCACTATCTATGCTTCAATTCATTGTCCAGGGTGTCTCAGCAAAGCTCGCCGCCCTGATCCCCACGCCCGTTGACAAGGCTGGCGAGTTTTTCCGAAGCGCAGTCTTGAAGACGATAAGTCATCGCGAGAAGAACCCCAGCTCCACCCGCGACTTCCTTCAGCTGCTGATGGACACCAAGGACAAGGACGGCAAGCGGATCCTTTCGGACAGCAGCATCGTGGCGCAGTCGATCCTGTTTCTGTTCGCCGGCTACGAAACCACCGCCACGCTACTGACATTCGCCGCCTACTGCCTGGCGCTGGACCAGGAGATCCAGCAGCGTGTCCAGCAGGAGGTCGACGACGCCGTCGAGCGTCACGGCGGCCTCACCTACGAGGCCGTCATGGACATGCCGTACCTGGACCGGGTGATCTCGGAGACGCTGCGTCTCTACTCGCCGGCGCCGCGCACCGAGCGCGTCTGCACCAAGAAGTACACGCTGCCCGGCTCGGACCTGGTCATCGACGTAGGCACGCTCCTAGCGATACCCGTGCTTCCCATCCACCGGGACCCAGAGTACTACCCGGACCCACTGCGGTTCGACCCGGACCGCTTCCTGCCCGAGGAGAAAGAAAAGCGCCACCCGTGCTCCTACCTGCCGTTCGGCAGCGGGCCGCGCAACTGCATCGCCATGCGGTTCGCGCTGTTCGAGGCCAAGGTGGCGCTGGTCACCATGCTGCGGGAGCTGACGCTGAAGCCGACGCCGCAGACGCCGCCACACCCGATGCCGCTCGATAAGAAGGCGTTCCTGGTGAGCCCGGAGGGAGGCCGTGTGCCGCTCTGCGCCGTCCGCAGGGAGTGAGGGGCCAGGAGGAGAGTCAACAGAGGCGGTCACCATCGGACGGCGTCGGAAGAGGCTGCTCGCAGCGGTCGGCAGCAGGATCAGCACTGATCACCGCAGATTTGATAACACTGACGGAAACAGAGTAGTTTCAGGGGTCTGATGCGTATAACCCAACGCTTGTATTATGACTTGGTAGCTCGGAAATGCCGTGGTGGCTTGTGAAATACGCTATCGACTAATGAAGCAAGCTATCCTGATATCCGAGCCTGACATTTATCAAATGATGATCATCTTTCTTCATTTATTAATAAAAGATTGCACTTGTGTGCCGTCTTCTTTATGCTAAGTAGGGGTAGGTATGCCTTTTCACATTTACTTAAAACGTCATTGATAAAAACGATGTCATTTAACAGATTTAAATCATTACCTGTCATTATCGTGCTGTCGATGTATACCTATCTTTGACTGCAGATAGAAGGATACCTACCTGAATCCTCGTCTACTAGAGTGTAATTTTAATACATGCACGAAAATCCATTTGATTTGGACCATGGGACCTATTGTAACCGTTATAAGTAATAAGAAATATACCAATTTTGACATGGGGTTTTGGAATAAAATGGCAGTTGTGTAGCTTTGGCTGATATTTGCACTAATCAGGAGCTTTTACGGCCCAATGATCAGTGACCACCCTAAGCAAAGATATTATTCCATTTCTCGTTTCGAAATTAGTATCTTTCGAGGGTTCTTTCCCATTGGGTCTACAGTGCAAGGATATTTCTATCTTGCACTCCTCTGATATGCAAAGATAAGAATATGTTATTTTTGCATCCCTCCGAGATGCAAAGATGGAGTCTCGACTCTCGAGGGTTTACAGCTAAAAATCAAGCATTCAAGTGATGGTGGGTCAATAACCGAAACACCGAAGGTTGTTGTAATGAGACTTACAGGGTGCGCCATAAATAATTACTCATCGAAAAATTCACCTTATTTCCAAATGGACTGGCATAGGTAGGCCATCTTTTGCATACTTATGTATCGTAAATTTGTATCCAATGACCAATCCTGGCAATTGTGGGACCGATTCCCTTCTCTTATATCGTGGTAAAGAGCACACACGTTCGAGACCCGCTGTCATTCGGAGACGCGCTCTCCCAACGCGTCATGGCCCGGCCGCCGACCCAAATATAGCCCTTGGTCGGTGGGCCGGCCGGTATCCTGTAACTGCACCGCTGCTCTGCGCCGACACCGACGCTGATAAACTGTACTCATTCGGAATACACCTCTCGGCCCGTTCGGACCTGTCTCTCGCCTTCGGTGCCTCCGCGACACAGTGTAGCTCATTTTGTATATGCTCGTCTACTGTCTTTGCTACGCTCATGAAATGCGAGGTCGTCTCAACGCACATACGCCGCTCCTGAAATTCAGGAATCACCACTGGGTGTTGGCTGCTGAATGCTGAACACTCTTTGGCCTCAAAAATGTTGGGCACAATTTATCCCAGACTGCAGCCCCATGGGCCTAGTCAACTTTCGTGAAAGTTGAAAGTTGATATATCCTGCAAAAGCCAGTCTACTTAGTCCTTGAGACACCGCAAATGACATACGGCGCAGCATCGTTCAAACATGGGTGATCGAGGAAAATAAGAGAAAAGATTGTGCGGCGGGCGCGTGCCATAGTGCCCTCGTGTCTCGGGCGCGTTGATTTTCGATGGGTAGGTACTTAAATCTTTATGGCTCACTGTATGTATGAATTAAAACAAACAGCTCGAAACGTTTTCATAGATAAAAACATTTCAATATAACATTTTTAAAAAGTATGAATAAATCTCTACATATAAGGGTCGGAGGATTTTCCATTGCTCACTCGTGGAAGATCGGATACATTTTCCTCGTGTGTTCCAGAAAAAAAAAACTCGTCTCTTCGTCGCTCGGTTTTTCAGTAACCCGCTTGGAAAGATAGGTACCTATAGAGGAGGCGTTAGGCACGCTTCACCCAGCAGTGGCGTAAAGTCATCAGACCACAACATGAAACTAGCGACGGGCTACTTGGCCCGCTTATAGCTGCAGTTGCAGTGGCGCGTCTAAAGTGCGGCGGCGGTGGGTGCCGTGCCGTTAGTAGGACGTCACTGGCGAGGAGTGGGCGTTCCGGCGGCAGCGGAGCGTCAGTCCCGTGTCCCCGCTCCGCGCGCCAGGATCGGTGCGGGCGGCAGCTCACCCGGGAGAGGATCGTTGTGCGCGGCGCTTGTCGTCACGACCCTGTCGTCCGAGAGCGGAGCGCTGGCGACTCGGTGCCGTGGTGCTCTGCGGAGCGGAGTGAGCGCGCTCCCGGCCAGTGCGCCGCTCGACGAGTGACCACCATGAGGTCATGGTGCGCGCCGTCTGTGCCGCCCTTCTGCTGGTCGCGCTCTCAGTGCAGTGCTGCTGCCAGTCGGTGCGGGCGGAGAGTGAGCGGCTGACACGCGGTGCCGGCTTCTTACAGGCACCGTCAATCCAGCACTCTCGAGAGTCCTCAGCGCCGTGGAGTAGTCACCTGACAGTGCGTTATCACACTCAGTCTTGTAGAACGGACACTCATGCCATCAGTGAACTAAAAGTATCCCATGAGGGTACGGGCAGTGATCAGTTCCGTGAACTAGTCGGATCTAACAATTATGAAATCAATAGAGCCTTTGAACTTAGTGTGCAAAGAAGCCGACGTCCTCAGTACCGCCCTCGTCACGGCATCAGATCACACAGACTAAAGCGTGCAGTCCGCTGGGAACGTAGCAGAGCCGACGGCCCGCTCCAGGACAAGAGTGGCGCAGCACAGCGGTCGGGCAGAGGTCAGTCTGGGCCAGGAGACGCCCAGAGACCTCACCCGACACCGTCAGAAGGCGCTGCCGTGTCTCCGCGCGCCGGCTGCGACTGTTCGGTGCTCAGTCTGCTGGGCCTAGCGACCAGCGGCGCGGCGCTGGGTGCGCTGGGCGCCGCGCTGGTGCAGCAGCTGGCCAGCGGCGGCACCGGTCGCAGCCAGCAGGCGACGCCGCTGGCCGCGCTGGTGCCGCACCGGCTGCGGGCGGCGCTGCGGGTGGCACTGGTCGACCCGGACCGCCTGCTGAGTGTCACCTGCGGCGCGGCCGGCCGGCTGGCTGAGGCGGCCCGCAGCCCGGTCTCGCTGCCGCGGCCGGCGGCCGGCGGACGCAGCATGCTGGAGGAGTGCGACTGCTACGGCGGCATGCTCGGCTCGCTGGCCGGGTTTGCGGCGCTGGCAGGCGCCATAGCCTTCGCCGCCACAGCCGCTGTACTTGCGACGACGACGACAACAACGACAGCAGCGCCGGCAGGGGCGGGAGGACGGGCGGCGAGTCTCTTCGGCAAGGAGACAGGTAAACGGCAGTGTGAAATGGGACGGGAGGGCGGGCAGGCAGCGGGTCGGGGTCTCTGCGGCAGGGAGACGAGTAAATGAATGCACCACAGAGATAGGTACCGATCACCACGTCGAATGTTACGCCACTGCATCGGCGTATAGGTATGCATATTGCATAACATTCACTTGTCGGATCAAATCCAAAATGAGGTGTGCAGGTCACTGTTATAAGCACTCGACCCAACAATTAGTTATCTGGTAAAATTTCCTTCCGACGTTGTGAGTGGAGCGATTTTGATGCCCTTGAATTAGCACGTGACACGTGCCGTGACGGTCACCCAGGTGCGCAATATCCTCAGGAATGGCTGAGTTATACGCATTCCTAGTCAAAATTTTACAATTTTCTATTTTTCAAATCCATTTTTCAGTGCGTTTTTGACATCGTAGGTACAGAATATAAATAACACCATTGTGTTCCTGAGCTCAAACAGCATCTGATAGTCACCTGTTTTGTTGAAAACTTTCCTTTTCAAAATTTGACCTTTTTTTACTTGAATTAGTGACCTGACCTCAGCTAACTGCGACTGAAAATGACCTCAAATGACTCAGACGATACCTACTGTTTCCGAAACCTATGAGTCAGGGCCTCGTCTAACATGTTAACTGGGGGGGCAATTGCCTCCCCAGTCGAGCGGATTGCCCCCCCCCCCAGTGGCCAGCATTTGCCCCCCCCCCCAGTCAAAACGTGAACTTCTCACAAAATTACCTTCTCTGGCTGACGGGCGGCGAGTCTCTTCGGCAAGGAGACAGGTAAACGGCAGTGTGAAATGGGACGGGAGGGCGGGCAGGCAGCGGGTCGGGGTCTCTGCGGCAGGGAGACGAGTAAATGAATGCACCACAGAGATAGGTACCGATCACCACGTCGAATGTTACGCCACTGCATCGGCGTATAGGTATGCATATTGCATAACATTCACTTGTCGGATCAAATCCAAAATGAGGTGTGCAGGTCACTGTTATAAGCACTCGACCCAACAATTAGTTATCTGGTAAAATTTCCTTCCGACGTTGTGAGTGGAGCGTTTTTGTTAATGCGTTTTTGTTAGGAGTCTTATACGGATTTAACGAGAAACGTTAAATTATTTGTTCAAAAACTGTTCATACTCCATGACTACGGGAAAAGCCAGAGTTTTGTGATTTATAGAGCTGAGTACCCACTGTGATTCTGTGATTTTGCTACTGTGATTCAAGTAGCAAATTGTCAATGGGCAGCTGCCAGTGACCCAACTCGTGTTTGTGTCCCCCCCCCCCCCCCCCTCCCACTCAATCAAACGCCCACGGCCCAACACGGATAAATATGTTTAGCACTGTCTGGTGGGACAATGTGAGGGGGTAACACATTAATCTTAACTCTCGCCCGTATTGGTGTTTTTCCAGCCGCGAACGTATAGCGGGGGGGGGGGCGTTCTACCTTGCCCCTTGCTGTTTCGCCCCTGATCGAGCTAGAGCTTCGCGGAGAAAACCACCGTGTTGCCCGTCACGAGAGGAAGCCGATGATGCCTCATTTTAAGGTCCTTAGTCTTCGGTTGACCTTCCAGGTCAGGTCTATGACCCTAAAGTCGGGAAAATCGCGGGACCTGTTACAACGTGGTAAAGGGTGGCTGTTATGTTTTTTTCGGGTGCTGATCACGAATATCATGTTAGTTAATTATCACAGATGTCTTCATGCATTTAGGCCAGGTCGGGTCAGGTCAGGTCAGGTCAACCAGTAAGGGTTTTGCCGGGTATTCGTAGTAGGTGGCAACCGCCTCTGGCTCTGACAGCTTCGTAACATGTTACGAAGGCACCAAAACTACTTCGTTTATGTTCAAATGGTTGCTAAATTCGAATTCAGCTCCAAAAACTGGCCTAGAATCATGTAAAACTCGAAAAAGTGAACCGAAGTCATCAAAAGCCAATGACCTGACCTGACCTCGTGGTGACCTTGACGCCTACCCTAATGCATGGGAGCAATATCATATTCCATGTTTGAACTCTTGAAACCACGAAAAGACTGCAAACGCGCGGCTAATGCGAGCCGACATACGCCGAATCGCGATTCCGGCCAAATATGGTCTCGAAAAGAAGTCACAGGTCAAAGGTCATTACGGTCAGGGTCATGACATTTTCAAAGTAGGTGTAAAATTGACTAACGCGTGGGTACTGAAAGTTTCGTCGCGGTCAGCCGCTTTTACGTGAGTTATTCGTGAAAAACCGGGGGGTCCGTTCGACCCCCCCCCCCCCCCCTATACGAGCATGGCTCTTTTTTGTTTTTTTTTGTGTTTTTTTTTTGTTAAAAAAATTGGTCTCAGGGCTGTGACGAAAAACAAGTGGCCTAAATCCGGTGAGAAAACAGGATTAGGGGGTACCCTAGGTTTGGGTCCTTCAGTCTCTGCCCCCCCCCCCCCCAGTGAAAATTCCTTAGACGAGGCCCTGCTATGAGTTAAATGGACCATTAAACATATAGGGGAAAGTGGGTGTATTGCGCCCTCCTAACCAATTGCGCCCACCAACATTCCCACGAATTCAATGGCATGTTTATAATTTTGTGTTCGAAAACAATATTTTCACCACCGGATAGTTCATTTTATGGCCTAAGCTCTCCGGCGAAGCCAATCAGCAGGGCTCATTACGCCATCAAAGATATTACGGCGTTTTCTTAACTTTTTTGCAGTATTTTGAACCGTTGGCTATAAAAAATGTGTGATACGTGTGTGATTTTCAGAGTGATATTTAGAAAGAAAACCCCTTTTTTCATTATATTTCACTTGAACAGTAAACTTCCTTCAGCATATTTATGATAACTTCTACGCTTTTATTAAAAAGTATCTCAATTTTAATTGCGCCCATGGCAATTGCGCCATGGGGGCGCAAATAGAATAATGGTGTAGCTATTCTATCACGACAGTATGATTGCATCATTAACTAATTGCAATAAAAAAAGGAGTTTAATGCCAGGCAGGGGAGCAGCCCGCTGTCGCCAGTCCGCAAATTATTTCTCTCGTCAAACTAAAAATGCAGCTGCCATTTAGGCTGCGAGCTTGTGGTGTAATTGACAAAATACGGCATTTTCAACATGGACTCGGGCGTGAGAGGTGACAGCTATGATAAAAAAGTAAAAACTGATGTCAACAAGTGGTCGAAACGATAAAAACTATTAATTTTGACAGAAACTATTGAAAATTTAACCGTATAGGCGCATACGTTCACATATATCTAGCCGCTTACACTAAACGTTTTCGTTGCACTTGTACAAGCATACGGACACATGTAAAGTGATTTACTTGGGCAAAAAACATCGCGATTTATATCTACATTTATTATTTATCCAGCCTGATTAACATTATAAATGTTTAAGTAAGCCGCAATAACATCAAACTGCCGGGGTGTACGCATTCCGTGTCATTCGCTTAGCCATGTTTAAGTATAGGGCGCAATTGGATTCTAATTGCGCCATCCCCCTGGCGCAATTTACAGCAGTTGTTTGTAAATGCGCCCTTTTGCATGTTTCTGAAAAAGCAGCTGTCGGAAGCAAACGAAACATTCTTAATTGATCGGGAGGAAATCGTAGCTAATGAGTTCCTCTTTGAAGTGGTTACCAGTGCATGCTTATATCTCCATCGGTTTTCTTACAATTAGCGTTTTTCCTTAAGGTGGCGCAATTCACCCTCCTTCCCCTATACGTCACGTGACCGATACATGATATCCCGCGCGGGGCTGGAGGAGGGGGTAAATTTTACCCCCCCCCCCTCGCGAATTTTTGCGATATCTCAAAAACGGCGGCGCGCAGCGCCGCCAAACTTTCAGTACCTTTTCTTACATCAATTTGACACGTTCCCTGAAAATTTGAGCGAATTCCGTCGGAAAATTTTTGAGAAATTGACGTTTTAGTGACGTCATGTTCGCCATTTTCGCCTCAAAAACGGCAAAAGTTCAAACGCCGCTAACATCTTCATTTTTAAAGGAATCAAGACGTAACAAAAAGGTTAAACGTAATTTTACTTTGTCTATCAAATGGCTATCTCGGTTTTTTGAAAATTTTGGATTTTGGCCTAATTTTTTTTCAAAAAACGGATTTTTTTGGGAAAATCATCATAAAATCCAAAATTTTGAGTCTATCGAAAAAACCGGAATATATGTCAGAGAAGTGGTCTATGTGCACCTACATACCAAATTTTAGAAGAATCGGTTCAAAAATGTGGGAGTTATTCAAAATTTTATGACGTCACGACACACAAATTTTTTGAAAAATGACTTTTTTGGAAGTTCTAGACCTTGTACGGAAACAAAAATAGCACCATTCGATTCGCCGTGAAAACTGCATCAGATAGACACCTTTTTAGGCCTTAACAACCAACTTCAAAATTTGACCTCATTTGACCTGACCTTGACCTGACCTCGACCTGAAATTCATCCAGAGGTGGTCCATATCACTTATTGAGTGTGCCTATTGAATTCTATGAGTAAAATGACCCATAAAACATGTGTCGCACATGCCCTTTTCTATATTTTGTTTTTGGTGACCTGACCTGACCTGACCTGACCTTGACCTTGACCTCTGAATGATATTGTATGCAACGAATATTGTCTTGGTAGCCTAAGAACACGTTTTGGGCGATCAGTCTCAGTCCATGACTCCATTCTTCGGCAACTACGGTGCAAGGCCGATACTGTAGAAACTTGCAATTTGTACCCTTGACCTGACCTTGACCTTGACCTCAAACTTTAAATTAAGTACATGTATTTAGTAGTTCGTGATGAGAGCTTTCGATTGGCGTTTGAATTTTCCAAATCGGACCATTAGTTCGGGAGATAACAGGGGGGGGGGGTAAAATTTACCCCCCCCCCCAGCCCCGCGCGTTCGGCTGGAGACCCCAGCCCCGCGCGGGATATAAAATTTCCATGATCTAGGATGACCTGGCCTTGACCTGAAAAAAATCGAAATAAATGTTCGGTATCCTAAGGGTACCTATCTAAAGC